TGTGGAGGCTTTGATGCCATTTGCCAATGGCTCTTCCTTGCATCTCTGCTCACAAGGTTACTGAGCTTGTTGCTCTTTCCCCACCTTGTCTGATGGATCTTGCCTCTCCTCAGCAGTCCTTGTATCTCAAAGAGGGTCCCATGGTTACAGAAACCAAAGCCCTAATTGTGACACCAGCTGCACAGCTAGGAGCTGATGCCCAGCGTGTACCTGCTTTTGTACAGTTTTTATCCTTTGAGCAGCAGATTTGAGACCATTATCACACCATATCCTTACCTCTCCCCTTCAAAGCCCTGTAGTTACCCACTCAAGGACTCATGGACTTTTCTGCTGGCTTCACTGGTGACCATGTGGGAGAACTGCAAAGGGTCTCAAAAGGCCAAAGGAACATCAAAAACCTCTCCACAGTGTCATATAGCAGCAAACCTATCCACACAGCAATTCTGCTGTCTGATCGGTGGTAGTCACACACCTGTCTTTTCGTCATCCTCATCTTTAAGAAAAGCTGATCACTTACTGAGGGGTGCAGCTGAACTTCCATAAATGGAGAGAGACACACAGCTATTCATATTGGTGGCAATTTATTGACTAGCAGCTTTCCGTATTAAGCTTTGTAACCACAATAACTACCTAGGCTGCAGGTGAAACTACAGATGCTGCACCTGTGGAGAAACAGCACTTTCCAGTTCAACGATACCACAGTCAGTGACTTGAGCGCTATCTTTGCAGCCTCACCTCCAGGTCTACAATATGAGAGGATGGACCAAGAGCAGCTACAGTAGTGCAAACTGTAAGAAGCCTCATAGTTACTTCATAGGTCATAGGAAAAGAAGGGAAGGCTGCCATAAAATAATCACTTAGAGAAGCCTTCAGTAAAGTCCATAATTACCTTGGGCCTGTTCCTGCCTGGCTGGTGGTGAAAACTGTCCTCTTGTACTGATGTCAAATGAGCAAGCCTCCAGGATGTGTATGGAGCATTACAGAATCACGCCCTTGTGAAGGAGCAAGATTAGAAGTATGACTTCTGCTTCCTGCCAGAAGAGTGAAAAACGCTGGTATTTTAATTCTAGCTCCTAGATGAGGACAAAAATCTGTTTTAAGAGATATGTGCCAACTCCCATAACTCTTTAGTGAGACCCTTTGCACGTACTTCAGAGTGAAATGTCAATCATACTTTTTAAACAAAAGTCACGAAGAGGCCAAGGTAGGTGGTAGAATCTGTAATAAGAACAAGGACAGAAAAATGCAGTTGAAAAAAAAAAAGTAAAATATACGCACAAACAAGTTTTCCTCAAGAAAGATAAAGAGTTCTAAACTTCTAGGCACAAGTGAAAAGCTCACATCACTCTTCCCAGCACCTGTTGTCTTCATGTCTGCATAGTAAAAGATTTATGCCATAAACAGCCATTCACCATTGACAAGTGAAAGGCATTTCTACGTGGGAAGAATAAGTACTAAAGGCCAGCAAACTGCTTCTTGAATTCAGAGACATTTCTAAAGGTTCTGTATTCTTTCTCCTCTGCAATATGCACAAGTATTTGTTTGAAAGAAATTCAAAAGAATAAATGCAAAAGACAGAGAAGAGTGACCTCAGAGAAGCCCATGTCTTATCACACTGCACAGAACTGTGTATCAAACATGTGTGTTCTTAAAAAAATGCAAAATGGAAAAAAAAAGAAAAAGGAGGAGGAGGGAAGTATTTATTTGTCTTAATCTCTCTCAGACATATTCCATGTTCTAGGAATAATTTCCCCTATCATTCCCGATTCATGCAACTGCTGTTTTATTTTACATTCGCTAAAAGGCAAGGGCAAATGGACAGCCACACACTATGCAAAAGGTCTAAATCCTGAAAATGTAAAAATACATCATAGCACACATTGTTCATAAAAATATTTGCTTAATGAAATTGTGGAGGCTTTTTTTCAGTCTCAGTAATTTTGCCTTGGATTTGGCGATGAGAGTTCATGATATTCACAAGAGATAGTCAGTGTAAGACTGCGGGAACAGATTTCCTAGAATAAATATACATTCAGTAAACTCCTGTCTGTGCGTAACTGCCATGAAATCATAACTCTCTGAAAATTAGACAAAAGGAGCATTAGTGAAATGCGGTTGGAGGCAATAGGACATGGTCAGTTTTTACTTAGCCTGTTTCTACTGTTTGAGGCATTTCTTGAATACACTAAGCAATATACCTACTAATTAGCCTCCATTAGCAGACAGTGAGAACCCTTAAATACTCCTTTAGTGCCTTAATTAACTAAGAGGGTTTACATATTCTCCCCTTCTTTTTCTTCTCTTTTAAAGAAGGACATTTATCTCTGCTTGACATACATTTCTTCAGCAAATTTCCATATCCATCAATTTGTCATACACAGGTATTAACAGCTTGCTGTGAAGTCACCTGATGGATTTTAGCTTCCCTGAAGTTGTTCTCCCACTGGTAGCACTGGCATGCTATTTTCCACCTCCATAGTGTTGGCTCAACTTTATCACCTAGAAAAGGCCAGGTTGGATGGGGCTTTGAGCAACCTGGTCTAGCAGGTGTTCCTACCCATGGCAGGGGGGTTGAAGCATTTAGGTACCTTTCAACTCAAACCGTTCTATGGTTCTGTTCTGTGCTTCTATAAGAGGTGTTGCTTCAGACTGCCTGAAGCACACGAGATACCCATTTCAAAATTAAACCTCTGACAAAGTCTTGTTTTAATGGCAGATGCTTCTGATTTACAGGGCTACTTAGTTTTGTATCTGCCCAGGATGCTGGAGGTCATTCCAGCAAAGCCTGGTTATAATTACCTGCTGCTGTGGTAAGAGAATATACAACACTGCTTTTTGTAGTTATTATTGTTTTGGACTAATTTTGCCTCGACATAGAGAATAAATAGAAGACTACAGACACTTGAAAAGGCACAAGCACAGTCATCTGAAGAGGTAAATTCCAGTGCTTATATGGATTTTGCCAAAAAGATAACATTATGTTATCATTAGATGATCTGTTACAGGAACCTTTTGCTCAATTTGACTTGGAAAGTCTTCAATTTAATTTCTTATTCTTTGTGTCTAGCCCTAAGGTGATCCTTCTCTGATTGTTTCATTGGTTTTATGTTTAATACAAGCCCATACTAAATTCCATAAAAATTGAGTTTTACATAGGTAAAATACTTTCAAAATTGAATTTATGCCTTTTACAGTTGTGTTAGGTTTTTTCAAACTTTGTTAGGAATTTGAGCCCTAGCGAAAATGTAATGTTGGAAGTATATTTCATAGACAGGATATGAGTGCCTCCATCTCTGTTTAGGTTTTCTGTTTTCTTTCAGCCTCATAAAAACTGCAGATCCTTCGGGATTTTCAGTCCCATTTTGATTATTCCTCAAATTAACTACTTCAACTAATTTTTTGGCGGGCTTCAAAAGGTAGTGTTCGCAAGCATTGAGTTGTGAGCTCTCCCCCATCAGACGTTCAAAACATAAAGCTATTACATTTTTACTATCAAGCACGAGCAAGAATGTCACCACATCACCAATTTTAAACAGCTGCAGCCAGCCTCTCTGGTTATACCTGAAGCAAACGAAGGAGTGATGGCAAGAGGTGCTTCCTCCTAACTGGGCAGGAAGGGCAGCGCAAGGAGTTGGTAAGGCAGTGTCCCCGGGGTAGGGATATGGACCTCTTATATTTAAAGGGCAGGTGGGTCTGGAAGCAAATGCCTGTCCATGGGTGGTTATAACGTGCATTTGTGGGTTTTTCCACAAATGTCACATTTGTTCAAGGTTGCATTGCAAGTATTTAGAAGGATGGGGAATGCCTTTGACTTAGACTCTGCTGCTCTACAGCCTGTAGGCTCAAGTTTGGCAGCAAGTATTCCCAGGAGTATGCACTGGTTGGTGGTTTTGATGAGGCACCTAAGCATCCTGGGATAAAAATGTGATGGGGTGGTGTCCCTCAAATATTTTGGTGTTGGAATAGATAGTCCTGCTGCTGTAACTGTGCTGTGACAGCTGGAGCGCAGGGAGCAAGTGGGTACAGGCTAGAGCATGCCAAAAATTCAGACTTGTGCACTCCATTTTCCAGCAAATCTTCTGCTGGAGCATCTGTGCTGCAGGCTTGCATTTTTCAAGTGTCCACATTCCTCTCAAGTGAAATGAAATATTAGGAATGCAACTGATACTTTGGAAAGCACTTTCTTCTTAAAGCTCCTTCTGTTATATAGTAACAAAGAGATTAACAAAGAGTGTAAGGACATGTGCTCCTATTACTATCATATGTAAACAATCGAAAAGCCTTTCAGAGGAGTGGATGGAAAAAGGTTGTGAATTATGCAGTAGATTAATTCCAGGAAACTCTTGTATCCAGTCTGAAGTTAATACTAATAGCCTGCTTCAGTGCTATTATTTAATTATTGCTATGTTTTGTTCCTAAACCAGGAACTTCTTTTCTAATGTATAGGATTTTGAATTAACTGCATCTGAATTTGTCTGCAAAATACTTGAGTAGAATTCTCTCAAGGTAGTATGTTCCAAACAAAGCCCTTTTCTTAAGAAAAAGAAGCAAAGGTAGAGAGTTGAAGATGATAGATTCCTCACTCCTCCTTTTTCATAGCTCATCCAAAAGACTGTGATAAGAAACAATGCCAGAGTTTGAGAAGCAAAAGTAGATATTTTTTTCCAGGTCATCCCATCCCCCTTCTTGCCCCTCCCTTGATTCCTGAATTCAAAACACTAAATACTCACCTAAGTTATGGCCCTAAACACACCTGTGTTTCGGTCTGCCTACCAGAACCAGATGTATGGTTTGCCATGGGAGTGTGCTTTTCCATGAAAATCAGAAGCAAGATGGAGACAGTGCTTGTTAGAGAAAGCCAAAGGCAAAAAGTATCCAGTGGTGGGTGACTGTGCCTTGCAGATGGGGACTCAAGGATTGATAGGTTTCTAGGTATTACAGTAAATGCACCCAGCATTTCTCTCACACTCTGTTGTTAACACCTGGTGTTTCTTTTCCAGGTGTCTTGTTTTCGCTGGTAGTCGTGATGTATGTCATCTGGGTCCAGGCGATGGCTGATCTGGAAAACTACACAGACATGAAAAAAATGGATTGCCCAGACTTTGCTGTTTATGTACGTTATGGCTGGTCTTTTATGCTGGCTCCTATAGGAGTGTTTTTTGCTTTATTAGCATGTTCTTATTGGTAGGGCGTACCATTTATTTACACTCAGACTAGCTGTACACTGCTGCAGGGAATCTAGGAATCCAACTGAAACTTCATGACAGTTGTAAACTGGAACGCTATTTTATATATTATTACCACTATGGCAATCCTTAGTGTGCAGGCAGACTTCTGGAAGTTCTTCTGTTACTTGTTTAAGGGTAAAGGACACAAAACTCAGTACAGGAGGAAGCCACCTTTAGTCCCAACTAATTGTTTTTAATTCTTTAGAAAGTACATATATGGTTCTCCATATTGTACTATTAGCAGCATTTTTGTAGTTTTGCAAACAGGAAGGAAAAAATTTTCTGCAGTCAAAAGCCCAACATGAAGTGGGCCAAATCAAGATTTTATATGATTGGCTTTTAACATTTACCTTGTGCTTCTGCTTGTGGAGAATTGTACAAGGTAGAGGAGAAAACAAATACTCAAACACAGTAATTCAATCTACCTCTACTGTTTTCCACTGCTTGCCTTAGCTTTGATGCAGGCAAACATGTCTGCACTTTATAAAAATAGAGTGCAGTTGTTCATGCAGGATCCTTGGGAAGAGGACAAGAGAAAAGACAATTATCGTGAACAGCAACCTGGTGCTAGTCCTTACATGTAAAAACTTAGCTGCTTCTGTTACGCATTTCTCTTTTCTGTATGCATTTAAAAGCTGTATACTTCTATATTCTGAAATCCATGTTTGTTGCATGATTCTATAAGCCAAAATGCCATTCTTAAATCTCTAGGTGAAGTTATACTAAAACTGTATTTTGAATTATAGCATTAGTATTTTAATCATGTTTTCACCCTTTTATTTTTGAATAGAATAATTGGGTCCTCCAACAAACATCTTCCTGGTTGTGTAAAATGACTTTTTTATTAAAAAAAGTTTATTATGAAGACAGTATCTAGGACATGAAAATGTGTGTTTTGTGTAGCCTTCATTTTCCCAACTATTAAAAACCTGCCTTATAGACCAAATCCAACTTGCCTATTAGTCATGCCAGGGGAAGCCATGGGTCTATCTAAGACAGCAGGGGAGATGGGTTTGATTCTGCACTGTAGGAGTGCTGGTTCTCTGTGTATGTGTGTGTGCGCGCACATATGTTTGGAGGACGGGGTGAGGATGGGACTGTATGCATGGTATGGAAAAGACGGGGCAGAGTTTTAACAATGGGGAAGCTTTGTCAGGCATCAGGCCCAAGCTGAAATTAAATCCATCTGCGAGTGTGTTGGTTTTCACTTTGTAACTCAATGCAGAATAGTTTGGAACTGATGGGGAAAAGTAAAGACTGCATGTTGGTTTCTTCTTGTTCATAATACTTAATTCCACAGCTGTTATGAATACTGAAAGCATCACTAAAAGGCAGGAAAGGAGTGCCCACCTAGAAGATGTGGTGGGCCATATTGGAAGTTGCTTCCATTTCAGGAGCTTTTGTGACTGGAAGCTTTCCAGCTTTCCCTGCTACTTATTTATTTTTCCATCATTGAGATTAGCTTTTTTACATTATAGAACAGGAAGACAACAAGGGCAAGGGGTAGGGGAGCTGGGATTGTGAGGTTTGGAATAATTACCGAATCACAAAAATGTTTTTGTTGGCAGCTAACATGGTGTTTTTAATTACTGTGCCAGAGAGTATGATGGGTGAATTTTAACCAAATATTCATAAACATATATATGAACTCCATATAAATGATAGCCATCCGGAGAACATTAGGGTTACACCATAATGCCCTTGGTTAGCCAGGAAATGCTGAAATTAACCCTGCCTCTTGTACGCATGGTATTATGTTCCTGCCCTTAATTACACAATCACATACTGTTTCTCAAATAATACAATCTGTTGGTATTTACGCTCTTTACAGTCTAGGATACTCACTGGTAATTGTGGAGGTAAATTCAATAATCAAGAGTTATTTGACTAGGTACCCCCCAATCCCTGTCTGCTTCTCTGCAGGGGGGAGTCCTTCTCCACAAGAGCTTAGAGGGGGCAATACACTCAAGCCACTTTCTTGCAACTTTTAGAAGCTGGAGGAATTGAGAGGTGCCTCAGAACTGGACTTCTTCCAGCAAACCTAACCATGTGTGCAGCAGCAACTAATAAACTCTGCAAGGAATGAGCCAAAGGCTCCCGTGGAGCCCTTAATTCAGCCCATGTGCATCTTCAGAACTCTCTCCATTATACCGCTAAATTAGTTGCACTCTTGTGTGCGAGGCAGCCTCTCTTGGAGCCAGCCCTTTGGGTCAGACTGTGGACGTAATGGCCACTGAAGATTCAAGGTGTTTCTGAAGGTTTCTTTAGAAACTTCAGGAAGCCTTTCTGGCGTCAGTAGAAATTGCTTAAGTACTCATAAATTCTTCACTCAAACTGACACTTCTGGCAATAGTCTATAGCTCTATCGATTTGCTTTAATTGGATACTGCCTTCTCCTAATAGCAGAACTGAGAGTCAGGTTCCTTCTGAAACAGTGGAGACATGTTGCTTGCTCCTTCCAAATGTATGTGTGTAGGTAAGCACATGATGTGTAATAACTAGCTGCTGTAGACCCAGGAATGGTGTTGAGGGTAGTGGGGAGGCATTTCTGTAAGAATATTACCTAAAAGTACAGTCTAACTAACTCTCGATTTCTGATTTCATTAAAGAACTATGCGCAGGGGAATGCGTTTGTAAGAACTCAGGGAAGACAAGACCAGCTAAAGAGACTCTCTCCATGGCATTCTTCCAGATACGCTTTTGTCTAGAAAATCCTTGGTGGTGATACATGGATTTTCATGATGAGAGCTGAGTAAAAGATTGTAAAGAGGATTAAATACTGTAATCAAAATAGTCTGTGAAATTGGTCAAAGAGCTATGTTCCTCACAAATATATAGGTTTGTTTGTTTGTTTGTTTTTGTTAAATTGCCTGGCTGGTTTAATAGCCTGCGGTCATACTGGAAGAAAATAATTCTTTTTTTAAAGTAATGTATTTGGAAAAGTGGGGGTAAAAGGAACAGCTGGGTGAGAAGCATTTTCTGATTACTTTCCATCTGACAATCATCTGCTCATCCAGTGCAAACATGGTGAGGACTGTGATAGCCCACAAAGGAGGCAGTGAGAAAATGACGGGATGGAGATGAGAAAGGGGAGAGAGAAAGAAGGGTGAGCGTCCCTCTGTGATGCCCTCTGCCAGTCCGCTGTGCAGCTGTTGCGGATTCCTGTGGGATGCACTGACACAATGTGGCAAAGGCAGCTGTAGGCAAAAACAGTCAGAAAAGGATTTGCCCCTGGTTTATCCTTGTTACTCATTGGTGTGGAGGTTTCACTGGAGCTCACCTTCATAAAATATGTGGCTGTTTATTGACATTTGCATGAGTGAGGTAAAGCAATGTTGTCCTTTGAGGGGATGCAAAAGAAAGCTGGCTTTATTTCTCTGCAGGGTGCCTAGCTGCTGCGGCTCAGACTATACTCTGTAGTGTGCTGGTAAACTGCTAGTAGGACAATCGTAAATACTCTCTGTATTGCTGTCCCCATTATTCCAAAATCCTAACTAGCTACAAAGTATGCTGTGGTTGTGCTATTATCTTTTAAGCAGGCATATTGAACCTCTTAAATGAGCTATTTACCTTCAGATGCAGCAGCTGCGTTTTCCTCTGGCTCTCCTGTTTGTATCTTTCCTTTCGGCAGAGCGATTTCCAGGCAGTGAAGACTAGATAAAGTGTGTTCACATGAAATTCTGCTTTGTTAACTTAGAGTGAGTCTGGATTGATGCTGCTGAAGTTGGTGGAGACACTGAAATTAAAAACAGAAGTCTGTCATCTGTAATCAAAAGTGACAGAAGGGATGCAGAATGACAAGTATTTGCAGTAACACTTTTCTCTCCATGTCTCTTACTCACGTTACCAGTTTAAACTGATCTGTCTTCCTAGTCCACAATGTGACTCATCTAGGCACAAATGTGACTCATCCTAGGCACAAATACAAACTGGGCACAGAGTGGGTTGACAGTAGCCCTGAAGAGAAGGATTTGGGAGTGTTGATAGATGAGAAGCTCAACATGAGCCGGCAGTGCGCTCATGCAGCGCAGAAGGCCAACCACATCCTGGGACATATCAAGTAGAAGCGTAGCCAGCAGGTCAAGAGAGGTGATTCTTCCCCTTTACTCTGCTCTTGTGAGACCCCACCTTGAATACTGCATCCAGTTTTGATGCCCCCACCATAAGAGGGACATGGATCTGTTGGAGCATGTTCAGAGGAGGGCCACAAGGATTTTCCAGGGGCTGGAGCACCTCTGCTATGAGGACAGGCTGTGGGAGCTGGGATTGTTCAGTCTGGAAAAGAGAAGACTTCAGGAGGACCTGAAGGGAAACTACAGGAAGACTAGGGAGGGACTTTTTACAAGAGTGTCCACTGATAGGACAAAGGGAAATGGGTTTGAGTTGAAGGAGAATAGATTTAGATTAGACCTTAGAAAGAAATTCTTCAGTACGAGGGCGGCAAGACTTTGGAATGAATTGCCCAGAGATGTTGTGGCTGTCCCCTCCCTGGAGGTGTTCAAGGCCAGGTTGGAGGGAGCCTTGAGTAGCCTGATCTAGTTGAGAGGCGTCCCTGCCCATGACAGGGAGGTTGGACTAGATGATCTCTAAGGTCCCTTCCAGCCTAGGCCATTCTATGATTCTATGATTCTATGATCTACCCAGGAGACACATTGACAGTAGGGGTCAGGAGAGCCGTTTGACATGAAGGTAAAAATGAATGGAGGGCTGGCAACATCTGCTGTGTTAGGCATCTCCAAACTCTGTCCCTGATTTTTCCCGATGTCCGAAAGAGCCCAGAGGGGCCTCATGGAGTGTTGCAGGGCTCCACATTTTGCTTTGAGGATAAGGGGAGGGCCCGGAGCAGAAGTCACCTCGTGTTATTTCCCATAGATCTGTTCCTTTTATGTTCCTAAAAACTGCCAAGGATGTGTTTGGTACCAAACTAAGGCGAGTCTGTGCAGAGGGAAGGTGCCTTTCACTCTGGGAGGCAGCCGCTCTGAACTCGGT